GGATATTTTACACTCATGTCTAGAAACTGTAACACTGTAGCACTGTGGGCACCAGTAATGTCTCCATTGTGAGACTTGTTCTTACTGTGTTTGGCATATTGAGTACTCCACAGGGACCTTCCAGCCTCTGCTGTGCCCCAGCGGGACACTCTCGGTAGCTTGCCAGGCCCTCCAAGAAGGACAGAGGAATCGAACCTGGATCAGCTGCATGAAGACAAATGACTTACCTGCTGTGCTATTGCTCCTAGATGTAAATTGTTATATGAATATTTCAGAATGAATAATCATCTTCCCTAACTGGAGTGGAACATTATTTCAGGATATTATATTTTATACCTTTAATTCTGGTTTCATGTAGATATAACAGATTTCCTTCTTGTAAATTTGGCAGTTGTGGGGGAATAATCCATGTTACAATAATTTAGATTATCCTTTTAGGTTATTGCTTGATTTTTTAAATATGCTTTTTATTACTATGGCTCATGATTTACAGTAGTACTGATATTACTGTTTTAGATGTATAAGACTATACCCACCATCAGAGTGCCAACATTCTGCCCTAGGTTCCTGCTTGCTACCCTCTCCTGCCATCAACTGACTCACTCCTATTGGCAGAATCTCAGGCTTTGTTTCCATTGGCTTATTCCCTTACTTCCTTTCTTTATACTCCTAATATCATCAGACAAAATTTGTCCTTCCTCTGACTCACTTTGCCATCCAGTTCCATCCAATTTATAGCAAAATCCAAAGCTTCATACTTTTTTGGAGGGGGGAATTGCTCAAAGCTACACCCAGATGTGGCAGGGGTCTGGGCCTTCCTTCTACAAAACTATCTCTTTGAAATATCTCTCCAGCCCTCATTCCTCCCCCCTTTCTTCCCTATCTTTCCTTCCTTCCTCCCTTTCTTTCTTCCCCTTTTCTTTCTTCTTTTGGTTATTGGGCCACACCAGGCACTGCTGAGGACTTACCTCTGGTTCTACACTCAAGTATCATTCCCAGAAGGCTTGAGGGTGCTGGGGATTGAATGGGGTCAGTCATGTGCAAGGCAAATGCCCTACTTGCTATACTATAGCTCTGGACACCCTCATCTTTTTCTTTTTTTAAAAAAAATTTATTAGTGAAACACCATGAGGTACAGTTGTAGACTTACAATTTTTTGTGCTTGGGTTTCAGTTATACAATGATCAAATACCCATCCCTCCACCAGTGCCCATTTTCCACCACCACGGGTCCCAGTATCCCTCCCACCCCCCATCCCACCCTGCCTCTGTGGCAGGGCATTCCCTTTTGTTCTCTCTCTCCTTTTGGATGTTGTAGTTTGCAAAAGAGGCATTGAGTGGCAATCATGTTTGGTCTATAGTCTACTTTCAGCATGTTTCTCCCATCCTGGGAGTATCCTCCCAACACCCTTTATTTGGTGCTCCCTTCTCTATCTGAGCTGCCTTTTCCCCTAGCATGTGCGGCTGGCCTCCAAGCCATGGAGTAAAATTCCTGGTACTAATCTTAGCCATTCTTGGGTGTTAGTCTCCTATTTTGTTAGTTTATGTTCCCCAGATGAATGCAATCTTTCTATGTCTGTCCCTCTCTTTCTGACTCATTTTGCTTAGCATGATACTTTCCATGTACTACCACTTGTATGTAAATTTCATGGCTTCATCTTTTCTAACAGCTGCATAGTACTCAATTGTGTAGATGTACCAAAATTTCTTTTGCTAGTCATCTGTTCTTGAGCACTCAGATTTTTTTTCAGATTCTGGCTATTGTAAATAGTGCTGGAGGGAGGGAGAGAAGATTTGCACAGCGTTGGGGATGAACAGGAAGAGACCCCTCATCTTTTTCTTAACCTGAGTAGTATTATATTGTGTTTATATACCACATTTATTTATCCAATCTTTTGTTGTTGGGCTCTTGAGAGCACTTATTTTAATTTTATACCTTAGTAATATAAAATATCTATACATAGATTTCTTTTCCATATATTTAAAACTATAGGCAAGTTGTTAAATATCTTTCATAGATTTTACCTCATCAATAATAAACATAAACCATTCATTTTGCCTTCAATTTCTATCTTTTTAGTGATGGCTATGAGTTGGAGGTTGTGCCATACCTAATGATGCTTAGATGCTCAGGGGTCATTCCTAGCTCTGTGTTAGAGGGCACTCATGACATACGTTGGGAGACCATATGTGGTGCCAGGATTTAAATGAGGTCTGATGTGTACAAGGCAAACACCTTAACCACAGTACTGTCTCTCCAGTCCTTCTGGTACCAATCTATAGAGAAAGTCAAACCATTTTCAAGATTCTTATATTAACTGAAATCTTGAATACAAATATTTATGTATGTATATTTAGTTTTTGAATCACATCTGATGACGCTCAGGGTTCACTCCTGGCTCTGAACTCAGGAATTACTCTTGGCAGTGTTCAGAGTACCCATATGGGATGACAAGGACCAAATTTAGGTCAGACATGTGCAAGGCAAGTTCCCTATCCAATACACTATTGCTTCAGTCCCTGGATACAAATATATTTCATCCATGAGATCTATGTACCTAACCCACAACTAAATTATGGATCTAAATTATCTAAAATGTTTATTTCACCTCTTCAATTTTACCTAGAAAGGTGAAGGAATGGATGTTGAACCATGAATATACTGAACTCTGCCATCCTACACAGTGTATGACCGTTGGAGGCTTATTTAAACTCTCTGTGTCTCAGTTTTTTATCTTTAAAATGTAATTGTTGACAACAATTATCATCTTCTAAGGGTTTGAGGGGAATAAAATGGATGTCACTGTCACTGTCCTCCCATTGTTCATCGATTTGCTCGAGCGGGCCCAGTAACGTCTCCATTGGAGACTTTGTTGTTACTGTGTTTGGCATATCAAATACGTCACGGGTAGCTTGCCAGGCTTTGCTGTGTGGGCGAGATACTCTCGGTAGCTTGCCTGGCTCTCCAAGAGGGGCGGAGGAATCGAACTTTGGTCGGCCATGTTGGCTGCGTCAAGGCAAAAGCACCCGTGGATTAATGTAAATAATAATATCTGTCCCAAAAGGTACTTTGTATCTTAATAAAATCACGATTTCATTTATTTTGGATTGTCAAAAGCAAATTAAAAGAAGTAATTTATAACACTATTTCTATGTTATATAGCAAGAAATAAACAAAATATAGTTTGAATTTTGTTCTGAGGTATATTTTAATTAAATATAACTATAAATTGGATATTTAAGTGAGAACAATTATATAGGGAGGTTTTTATTTTATATATGAATCTATATTCTTTCTTTTCTTTTGGATAGGTGTTTAATTTTTATTTCATTTAATGTTGTCACATATCTCCTCTGATTTGCCCTAAATGTATAAAGAAAAATCTAAGGTGTATTATTATTTTAAAGTTCCTGTGTTTTTTTGGGGGGGGTTATGCATACCCAGATGTGCTCAGGACTTACTCCTCTTGCTGATCTTTGGGGACTCTATGTGGTGGCAGGGATTGAACTGGTCAGCTGCATGCAAACCTTATCCACTGTACTATCTTTATGGTTCCATAAGGCTGTTATTCGGATTTCCATTTTTACTATTTCTTATGGAAACAAAAGAAATAAAGTGAAACTAAATTGAATTTACCAGTACTTAGCACTCTGAGAATTCTATATCCAGTTTAGCTATATGTATACAAGATGTATAATCTGATAATAACCTTACATAAGTAGAAGCATAATAATTAAGAGTGAAATGTTGCTAACTGAATTGATACTTATAGAATAACTGCTATAATAATGCCTCTTAAAAATAATGTCCCTAATAATTCTTGTCTCTTAGTATTCTTGGATGATTGACATACTTTTAAAATAATTTGTTCAATGAAAAATTAAGTAATTAATTAAATTCTATGAGATCTAAGGAGAGAACATTCCATAAGTTTGAAGATAAAGGATACTCCATTCAGTACACTAGTTAAACTCCTATAAGTTTGTCTCAGTTAACTCACACTATCAGGATTATAATGTAAGATGATAATAATATTAATGATTATAAACATCATAGTTAATATATTTGCTGGTCTCCTTTTTATAAACATGTATTTCTTCTTCATCACACATGAGTAGATAAAGCCAAAGGTACTTTCTAGTTGGATTTAAGTATTTTAAGTTAGGGTCTTTCACTTTCCCCAGAATTATTTGGTTGAGAAATAGGACATCTGGGATATAAAGATAAACGTGCTAAGAAACAAACAGTATAAATACAAATCTCTAGCAAGATAATCAATAACTTTATCTTTAAAATTGTTCTGACTTTACTCACTTCATTTTTTCTTGATGTAATCCTGGGAAGTCAAATAGAATTATCAAGTCTTTTTGCCCTGGAGCCTCTCTTTCCAGTTTCCTCTGAATGTCTAAGAATCTGATTCTAATACATTTGACTTCCTCCAAAGTTTAGTTGGTTTACACTGTAAAAGGAATTATAACAGAATAAGAAACTTCTAATCTATCTGCATTACTATTTGTGTTACTATATAGCACAGTGGATATTATTATAGAGTATAATTATTGTTTTATAATTATAAAACAATAGTTTTATTCTTTGTAAAAAAATCTCTCTGAGACAACATAGTAAGAAAGTCTTTAAATTTTTTTTACCATTTTAAATCTTAAGAGTATATTTCCCTTAGGGGTTTTGCAAAGGAGAACTGAAGTTAACATTGCACAAATGAGTATATTGTCTTATGCTCAAATTTATTATAGAAATTGCACAATAATGTAATAATCATATAAATTTTTCAACTTAATGGAAAAAACAAGTTTTGTAAAAACGTCTATCAGTTCTTTCTAATGGACACTTCAAAATTCAGACACTACAAGATATTTGACAATATTTGTTTCTCAATCAGGACACAGGGTGGCGCTGCAGGCTAAGACAGTGAACCAAAAACCCTAAAAAGCTCCCGTATTCCTTTGTTGCATTAGGGAATTGATAACGCAGAAGAAGCTTTTTGCCAACCTTATTGGGTTACCAAGGGGTTTGGGCGGCTATAAACAAAAAAATTTTAAGACTGGAAGCAACATTGTGAGGATCTTCCCAAGCAAGAAATCAAAATGAGTATCTGAGCTTTGTTGTGGTTCCTGAAGAAACTGGATGTAAGCACTTAATAATGGAGACGCTACAGAGAATGCAACCAAACAGGCAAGTGGCAGCCTTTATTTTGATGTTGTTCTTGTCTCAGACTCTCACAGAGCCTATTCGTTATTCTGTGATGGAGGAAACACAGAGTGGCTCTGTGGTAGCCCATCTGACTGAGGACCTGGGCCTGGGAATCGGAGAACTGGCAGCTCGTTTGGCCCGGGTGGTGCCTGACGATGACAAGCTGCATTTGCAGCTGGATCGTCAGACCGGAGATTTGCTTTTGAGGGAGAAACTAGACCGGGAGGAGCTATGTGGTGCCACTGAACCATGTGTACTGCATTTTCAAGTGTTCCTGGAAACCCCGGTGCAGTTTTTTGAAGGAGAATTATCAGTCCAGGATATAAATGACCACTCCCCTGTATTCCCAATGAGGGAAATGCTCTTGAAAATACCAGAAAACAGCCAGCCAGGCTGTCTGTTTCCTCTTAAATTAGCTCAAGATTTGGACGTGGGCAGCAATGGTCTTCAAAAATATACTATCAGCCCCAACTCTCATTTTCACGTTGTCACTAGAAATCATAGTGAGGGGAAGAAGTACCCAGACTTGGTGCAGGACAAAGCACTGGATCGAGAGGAGCAACCAGAGTTCAGCTTAACTCTCACTGCGATGGATGGTGGGTCTCCGCCAAGAACAGGCACTGTGACTGTGCGAATCCTGATCTTGGATGTTAATGACAACGCTCCTGAGTTTCTGTATAGCCCATATGAAGTTCAGGTTCTTGAGAACAGTCCTGAGGACTCCTTAATTCTTACAGTTTTCGCTCGGGATATAGATGATGGAAACTTTGGGAATGTTACCTATGGCTTCTTCCAAGCCTCAGATGAAATCAAACAAACTTTCTCAATAAATGAAATATCAGGAGAAATCCGACAGAAAAAAAAATTGGATTTTGAACAAATTAAATCTTACCAGATAGAAATTGAGGCTACTGATGGTGGAGGTCTTTCTGGAAAAGGCACTGTACTCATAGAGGTGGTAGATGTGAATGACAACGCCCCTGAACTGACCATATCATCACTCACAAATTCCATCCCAGAAAATGCTCCAGAGACTGTAGTCTCCATCTTCCGGGTTCGAGACAGAGACTCTGGAGAAAATGGAAAGATGATTTGCTCCATTCCAGATAATCTACCGTTCATTTTAAAACCAACTTTCAAGAACTTTTACACTTTGGAAACAGAAAGCCCACTAGACCGAGAGATTCAGGCAGAGTACGACATCACCATCACGGTGACAGACATGGGCACCCCCAGGCTGCAAACACAGCACACCATCACAGTGCTGGTGTCCGACGTGAACGACAACGCCCCCGCCTTCAGCCAGCCCTCCTACACCCTGCTGGTGGGCGAGAACAACAGCCCCGCACTGCACATAGGCAGCGTGAGTGCCAATGACCCCGACGCGGGCAGCAACGCCCAGGTGACCTACTCGCTGCTGCCTTCCCAAGACCCACAGCTGCCGCTCGCCTCGCTGGTGTCCATCAACGCCGACAACGGGCAGCTGTTCGCGCTGCGCTCGCTGGACTTCGAGGCCGTGCGCACCTTCGAGTTCGGCGTGGGCGCGTGGGACCGCGGCTCGCCCGCGCTCAGCAGCCAGGCGCGGGTGCGCGTGCTGGTGCTGGACCGCAATGACAACGCGCCCTTCGTGCTGTACCCGCTGCAGAACGCGTCGGCGCCCTGCAGCGAGCTGGTGCCCAGGGCGGCAGAGGCGGGCTACCTGGTGACCAAGGTGGTGGCGGTGGACAGCGACTCGGGCCAGAACGCCTGGCTGTCTTTCCAGCTGCTCAAGGCCACGGAGCCCGGGCTCTTCAGCGTGTGGGCGCACAATGGCGAGGTGCGCACTGCGCGGCCGCTCAGCGAACGCGACGCGCCCAAGCACAGGCTGCTGGTGCTGGTCAGGGACAATGGCGAGCCGCCACTGTCGGCCAGCATCACGCTGCACGTGCTGCTGGTGGACGGCTTCTCGCAGCCCTTCCTGCCGCTGCCCGACGCGTCGCCAGACGCGCCTCCCGACGACCGCCTCACAGTCTACCTGGTGGTGGCCTTGGCCTGCGTGTCCTCGCTCTTCCTCTTCTCCGTACTGTCCTTCGTGACCGCGCGCCTGTGCAGGCGGGCCGGCCCGCCCGCGGGGGGGCCCTACCCACTGCCTGACGGGCACTTCCCGGGACACCTGCTGGACATCAGTGGCGCTGGGACCCTGTCGCACAGCTACCAGTACGAGGTGTGCATGACTGGAGACCCTAGAACTGGTGAGTTCAAATTCCAGAAGCCATTATTCCCCAATCTGTTGGTTCAGGACACCAAGAATGAAATTAAAGAATCTCCCAGCAGCACAAACAGCTTTGTATTTAGTTAAGTAATTGTCAAGTGAACATTTCCTTGATTTTGGTCAACACAACTCCCTTTGCATTGCTTATTTTTAAAAATTGCATTGTGTATTCAAACCTATGCATGTCTCTTATCATACTAAAATTTTTCTTAAAAATTTTAAGTTCCCTTAGCATTTCAATGGCACTGAATATTTAGTGTATGTTTTCTTCATATTTTATTTCCTATGTAGAATCATCTATCCATAACTATTAGTTACTCAAATAGGTTTCGAAGAAATTGTATTAAGTTAACTTCTTTCTTAATGTCTTTTTACTGTAATACTTAAAGCTTTATATGATCTTGCAGCTCTATATGTGGTGGCATTTGTCTTAATCATATAACATTATCCTTGCAAAGTGCTTGAAATTCTTTAGGACTCTCTGTACTGAGAACATATAACTTACAAGGCTTGTTTCTCCCTAATTGTACTTAAATATGCTTTTATTAAAATATTAACACAGCAAAATTTTGATATCTTCATTGTGAGAACCACATAAACAATTATATATGAGCATTTTGTGGCTACTTACATAGCACATTGTATGTACTAATATTAGCGTTTTAAGTTTTTTTTCTTTTTGGGTCACACCCGGCAATGCACAGGGGTTACTCCTGGCTCTGCACTCAGGAATCACTCCTGGTGGTGCTCAGGGGACCATATAGGATGCTGGGAATCGAACCCAGGTTGGCTGCGTGCAAGGCAAATGCCCTACCTGCGGTGCTATCACTCCAGCCCCTAAGCTATTCTTGTTATACATAACAAGGAGAAGATCTACATCATTTGACAACTCTTTCACTAAATTAGATAGATCAAATCAAAACTTGGTAAATTCTTTTACAATTTTTAAGAAGTTTCTGGGTTGGGGATTTAGCTTAAAGGCTGAACAGGAACATTGCAAATGGGAGATCCAGGTTTGATTCTCAGTATTGCATGGTTTCCAAGCCACATTGGGAGTGACCCCTGAGCTCTGAGTCAGGACTGCCAGCTCAAAATCCAAAAGCAAAAGTATCAGGGCCCAAATGCGCTCCAAAACAATTGAAAGTTTTCATGTATCAGGAGAGCATTGTATACTTTCTTGTTCTTTATTATTTCCTGCAAATAAAATTTCAAGTGTATTGCACATATTTATTTAGATTTTCTGTAGCTTCCTCCCACTTTTCAGAAGAGTCAAATAATCTTTTGTGGATAGTACAGTAGATAGGTAGTAGATAAGTTTGCTTTGCACATGACCAACTTGGGTTAGATCTGTTCGCTGGCACCATATATGGTCCCCCTAGCTCCACCATGAATGATCCCTGAATGCTGAGTCAGAATACCTGAGCACTGCCAATTGTCGCCCAAGAACAAAAACAAACTAAAGAGTCAAAGAGTATCAGTTTTTCTGTACAAGTTTGATTATCAAGTGATACCAGATTTTTTACTTTACAACTTTGCAGACATTGACAGCCTTTAACCATAAAATACTATTTAAAAGATATTCTTGAAATCTATATTTTATCCTTAATTCAGTGTATAAAATGAAATGAAAAAGTGGCACTGAGATGGAGATATAGTACAGAGCACTTACTAGCCTTGGTGACCCTAGTTTGGTCTATAGCATAGCATTGTTCACCCAGCACCACTGGGAGTGACCCCAAAAACAGAAATACTTGAGTAGTTCCCAAGATTCACCAGGTATGACCCAAAGTCGTACCAAAAAGAAAATGCAGTGCTAATTAGAACAATGAAGACTTATACTTTAGACAAAAAATAAACACAAATAACTACATAATGTATAAATTAAGACATTACATAAGACTTACATTACATTAGGGTAGTCAATGTCTCCATTTATGGGGCTAGAGTAATAGCAAAGCAGTTAGGGCATTTGCCTTGCACGCAGCCTGACCCGGGTTCGATTCCCAGCATCCCATATGGTCACCCGAGCATGGCCAGGAGTAATTCCCGAGTACATGAACCAGGAGTAACCTCTTTGCATCGCCGGGTGTGACCCAAAGAGCAAAAAAACAAACCAAAACAGAACAAAACAAAAACCAAAACCAACTTCTCCATTTATTATTGGATTTCTAAAAATTTATTGGTTTGGGGGCCATACCTGGCAATGCTCAGGGCTTATTCCTGGCTTTGTGCTCAGGGATTACTCCTGAAGGATGAGCGGGGCATCTGGGGTTCTGGGGATCAAACCTGGCTCAGCCACATGCAAGGCAAGCATCCTTTCTGCTGTACCACCCCTGTGGCCTCTTATTATTGGCTATTTTAATGTAGTGTCTTTTTGTTAGTTTCGGGGCTACATTTGGCTATGGTTCTCTAGCTTTGCACTCAGGGATCACTCTTGGCAGGGCTTGGGGGTGGCTCCATATGTGGTGCTAGTGCCCAAGCCTGAATTGGCTGCATGTAATGTAGGTGCCCTACCTGCTGTACTATTGCTCCAGTCAAGAGGTTAACTTCTTGAGGAACACAATATCAGATGATGTTGGACATTTTTATATACTCAACACTCAGTACAAAAGAACTATGCATGTGTGCACATGCATACACACACCTGGAATAAAATCTAGAAGAAAAATAGATAATATAGGGTCCTGAATAAGGCATGAGGCTGACCTAGGTTTGGCCCCAACACCACATATGGTCCCCAGAGCTCACCAGGAGTAACTCCTGAGTTCAGAGCCAGGAGTAACCCCTGAGCACTGTTGGCTGTGGTCTGAAAACCAAAAGAAGAAAAAAAGAGGTAATACAAATGACCCACAGATGGAACAGATAACTGGAATGAATTGACAATGGTGTTTTTTTAATATACATGACATTTGTTAATATGTTAATTTGTAAAATACACATATTTGTAAAAATAAGGAAAAAAGAAACTAGATTTAAAAAAGAGAATGAATAATCATATCACCAGATAATTAGAAGTTCTAACACGAGAGAATTAAAACTTAAAATAAAAATTAATTCTAGAACTGAAATATAATATCAGATATTACAAACAATTTAGATGACTTAGTAGCATAGTAGACATAAAGGAATATAGAAATGAGTCAAGATGAGTCCATATAGAATATCTAAATATTGGGCTTGGAGAGACAGTACAGGGAATAAGACATTTGCCTTTCATGCAGTTGACCCCAGTTCTATAACTGGCACTACAGATAGTCCCCCAAGCACCACAAGTAGTTATACCTGATCCAAGAGTAATCCATGAGTCCTGCTAGGTGTGGTAAAAAATCCAAATATAAATGCAGAGAAAAACAATAAAAATTATATTTAAAAGAACACACAAAGGCTGAAGAGCTAGTACAATGGGTGACGTAATTGCCTTGAATGTGGCTGAGCCAGGTTCAAACCCCAGTGCCACATACATCCTTCTGAGCCCTGTCAGGAGTGATCCCTGAGTAAGCCCTGAGCACAACCAGATGTGGCCCCCCAAAAACACATGAAATAAAATGATGTATGTAAAAGTGACATAACTTTAAAAATTATGATCTATGTAGGACATATTCCCAGAGAAGAGAAACTTACTACATTACAATTACATAATTACAAAATATGTCAAATTAAGCTGAGAAAACATAAATTAGAAACAGACAAATTCTATATGATTCCCAGAGCACCTTTGAGAGCAACCCCTGACACCATACCTGTAGTAGCCCCCAAAACGCAAGAAAAGGAATTTTTTTTTTGTTATGCAAAAAGTCCAGTCATTTTCTTTTCTTTTTTTTTTTGTTTTGTTTTGTTTTTTTTTTTTCCCTTTATTTTATTTTATTTTTTTTAAAGTTGTAGATTTACAATTTTTTGTGCTTTGGTTTCAATTATACAATGATCAGATACCCATCCCTCCACCAGTGCCCATTTTCCACCACCATGGATAATATCCCTCCCACCCCCATCCCCCCATCCCCCCGTCTCTGTGGCAGGGCAATCCCCTGTGTTCTCTCTCTCCTTTTGGGTGTTGTGGTCTGCAAAAGAGGCATTGAGTGGCAAACATGTTCAGTCCATAGTCTACTTTCGACATGCATCTCCCCTCCTGGGAGGATCCTCCAAACATCCTTTATTTGGTGCTCCCTTCTCTATCTGAATAGCCCTTTCCTCTAGGATACCCGGCTGGCCTCTAAGTTATGGAGTAATCCTCCTGGTGCTGATCTCAGCTATTCTTGGGTATTAATCTCATACTTTGTTACTTTATATCCCCCAGATGAATGCAATCTTTCTATGTCTATCCCTCTCTTTCTGACTCATTTCGCTTAGCATGATACTTTCCATATTGTACCACTTGTATGTAAATTTCATGACTTCATCTTTTCTAAGAGCTACATAGTACTCCATTGTGTAGATGTACCAAAGTTTCTTTAACCAGTCATCTGTTCTTGGGCATTCAGGTTTCTTCCAGTTTCTGGCTATTGTAAAGAGGGCTGCAATGAACAAACAAGTGCAGATGTCACTTCGACTATACATTTTTGCCTCTCTGGGATATATTCCCAGGAGTGGTATTGCTGGGTCAAATGGGAGCTCAATTTCTAATTTTTTGAGAATCGTCCATACTGTTTTCCAGAAGGGCTGAACCAGTGGACATTCCCACCAACAGTGAAGGAGTGTCCCTTTCTCGCCACATCCACGCCAGCATCGGTTGCTTTTGTTCTTTTGAATGTGGGCCAGTCTCTGAGGTGTGAGATGGTATCTCATTGTGGTTTTGATCTGCATCTCCCTGATGATTAATGATGTAGAGCATTTTCTCATGTGCTTTTTTGCCATTCGGATTTCTTCTTTGAGAAAGTTTCTGTTCATTTCATTGCCCCATTTTTGGATGGGGTTGGCTGTTTTCTTCTTGTGGAGTTTAACCAGTATTTTGTATATCCTGGATATCAACCCCTTGTCAGATGTGTATTCGGTGAATATCCTTTCCCATTCTGTAGACTGTCTTTGTACTTTGGTCACTGTTTCTTTGGAGGTGCAGAAGCTTCTTAGTTTAAGATAGTCCCATTTATCTATCTCTGTTTTCACTTGCTCGGCCAGTGGCGTGGCAT